ACAGCCAGAGAATGGTGTGTTTAGAGGCAGACATGATTTATTCTGTCATCACAATGGTGGTAGCTTCCTTTTAGATTTTTCCTGTACATCGAGTATGTATGATTTTATGTAAGGAGAATAATCCCCCGTCACTTAATAAAAATGGATAGGACTTTTATAGTGTGGGAAGTTACTATAAAAGCTACCTGTGCATGCTGATAGCCACACAGGTTTTCTACCTTTCTCTTGGAGTTGCCTTGTGACGACCTCTTCCTTTTTCCTGGTACCCTGTACTTTAGGCTTTGCAGATGGTGATGAGACAACTCATGCATGCTGAAGATACAAAATCATTTTCTATGATGATCATTTGACTCAAAATGTGATCCTCATTTTGGAAATTGGGCAGGGAGGAATCTGAAACCTCCAAATGACAGCTTGCTGAAAGATGACTTGGTTGCTTCTCAACTTGCCTGATCTCCCTCATAGAAGTCCATTTACAGAGCAACAGTGTTTGACTCTATTTATACGAGCACCTTTCATAGAGGGACAGGGTTTCTAGCAAGGAGGGACACATGCATTCCACCTCCAGTATAGCTGTCTTTGGTGTTCCAGGCAACCCTTTCAAGCCTAGGCAACCTTCAGTCATTTTATTGGTAGCCAAAGACCATTTGAAACTAGATCTAACAATGTGACCATAAGTCTCTTAAATTACCTGTGCTCTCAGAAATTATTTATTTACATCCTTCCTCTTTCAAACAAATTTTAAGGCATCTCATAATAGAAGGCATACACGATAAGGTTGTTCATGTAGAAGCAATTTGAAAATCATGAAAAGAGGAAGGAAATATGCTAGCCAGGATGGATAATGGAATTACTGTGATTTGTTATTGAATTTGGCCCTAAGATAATCTAAAGGCCCAGGTATAAGTGGATGATTAAATACGTTACGGTACGACCACATGACAGAAGATTATGGAGCCAGGGGGAGTTTGTAACGATGAGGAAAAATACAATACAATATTAAGAAGAGAGAGGGTTTTTTAAAACTATGAAATTATCTTAGCTACGTTTACAAAACACTGATTTAAAGAAATGGAGAAATTCACCAGAATATTAACTGTAGTTGATGAAATGAAGTGATTTGTTTTCAGCTTTGTATTTTTCTTTCTTTCAGATAATTGTCATGAACATATATATTACATTTATAATTACACATAAAAATTATTTTTGCGGTTGACTTTGAGATTCCTGGCAGAGAAGGCAGAAAGGACAACAATCTTGAGTTGCATGATTCTCATTATGTGATAAAAGAACTATCTCAGTTCTTCAGTTCTTCAAGATAAATTCTTCCTTGATACCGAATTCCAAAAGGGGTTTATCATAAGGGATGTCAAATGATAAATGTATGCATCTTGATGAAGTTCTTAGAGCAAGTGCAGAAGGGGGATCCTTGTGTATTTCATGGCCACCCTCCCCCCCTCCGGGAGAGCCAAAGACTTGCACTCACTATGCAGTAAGGTGGTAGGAATTAGCCTGCAGGGGAATTTGCACATCATCAGACTTCCATTTCTTAATTCTGTGTTTGGATTTTTGGGGGTAGGGAGAGGGGCGACTGGCCAGTCTGGGGATCTGAACCCTTGACCTCGGTGGTACAACACCATGCTCTAAACCAACTGAGCTAACCAGGCACTGTGTTTCAGGTGCTGCTTTTGCCCAGTGCACCCTGTCCAAACACACTGCATGAGATGGTCCCAGGCGGTGCAGAGGACAGCTGTCAGCTCTTTATTTCACACCTTGGAGATTGAATCACTAGTCCTGGAAATCTATCTCTTAAAAATTAATGGAATTCGGGCTGGCCCGGTGGCGCACTGCTACAGTGCGCCGCTTGGGAGCGCCACGGTGCTCCCGCCAAGGGTTCAGATCCCACATACAGACCGGTTCCCGCTCACTGGCTGAGCGAGGTGTGGACGCAACACTGAGGGTTGCAATCCTGTTGCCAGTCCTGGTCCAGTACAGGCGCGACACTGAGGGTTGCGATCCGTTGCCGGACACGAAAAAAGACAAAAAAAAAAAAAAAATTAATGGAATTCAACTTCTTCCCCCTTTCAGGTGTTGCTGCGCTGGATTCCAATGTATCTGGAAAAATTGGTCTGCGTGCTGTCGTGTATTATTTCTGTACCACTCTCATTGCCGTAATTCTAGGTAACATTTCTGAATCCTTATTCCTTTATATAATTGCAACTTTTCATTCAAAAAGCTGTTGGGCTTTTTTAAATAAACGATTTTTTTAAAATCAGAAAGTAATATTGTCAAACTACCATGAAGCCTTTTGCCTTGAAGTCTACATGGCACTTTTTATGTGAAGAAAATGTAATACTGACTGAGCTTTGTCCACGGTACTGCTTATTAAAGTCTCTGTTAAGAAGCAGTAAGAGGGTGACAGGTCTGTGCCTTGTCAGGATCATGGAGAAGAAAGTGGAGCCAAGAGCTTATATAATCCTTAAACTATACAATTAGTCTTTAATAGTGGAGTTTAGTAAATATAAAATGTTCCCAGAAAGACGGTATTTCAGTGCATTTCACATTTCAAATAGTACCAAGGCCTAACAGCTAACAGAGGCCTGCCAAGCATAAACCCCATTGTAAGAGGCAGAAAGTTCTAATAAGGGAATGCAGCTGTTCTTGTACTTTAGCACAGTCTTGTGAAGAAAGCACGGTTCATCCTTTGTGACGTAGCATGACATTTTAGGAAGGATGACCAGAGTGGGAAAGAGGGAAGGAAACATACTCAGATGTTGCAGCCAGCTTGACCGTTGCAGCCTTGCTTTACTGAATAGATAAGAAGTGAGGTTTAGTGGTATTGGGCCACTGGACCTAGGATGACCTGAGCCCTGCATTAAACCAAAGCCATGTCTCCTCAATGGGGTTCCTGAGGGAGACAGACACAGAGAAAAAAATAGCAGAGAGAAAGCAAGACACTGGGCATCTTCTGCAACCCTGAGAGGGAAGGGTGGATGGTGCCCATCATGGCTCTCTGATCACCCAGTGACTCCTCCTACCAGCAAAACCGACCCATTCAGCATCCCAAATCCCACCCCTGGGATTAGCATCCCCTCCTCTTGGGGGAGGAGCAAGAAAGGGCAGGGGGGCTTTTTTTCCTTCACTCCCATCTAGTCAAACCTCCAATACCTTGGTCTCTTCTACGATCTCCCACCTCTGCTTGGACACCTCAAGTGACAAGACCCATTACATCCAAAGGTCATAATGGCACTTTCAGATGCTCTACCATGTAGAGCATCTTCCTTACAGCAAGATGAACCATATAACACCTGTATATGTGTCCTCATTCCACCGCCTGAACAACATTTTCCCATATGATGGTTTTCTAGATATTTGAAGGCCTGTGGCATGGAAGGAAGACTAAGCTGGTTCTGTGTGACCCTCAGGAGAATAACCAGCATCTGTGCCTAAAAGTTACAGAAAGATACTGATACATTTCCCTGGGCTGGAAATTGAATCACCACCCTCTCCCCAACACCTGCCTAGGTTGATCTCATAAAGCTAAGGAAAAGAACAAAGAATATTCTCATCAGCAGGTGTTTCCAGAAACAATTTTGGGATGCAGCTTCTTCATTTTTCTAAAATACACAAAAAGAGTTCCTTCTGCTTATTCATTTAAATGGAAAAGTAATTAAGGCGGCTGCTGAGGTCCCAGCGGAGGCTGAGCATTTTGGCTGGACCTCAGTGTCCTCCCCATCACAGTAGTGCCTAGTACCACCATGCCTTCTGGTTCTAAGAAGGATGCACTAGGTGCTAGGTGTGCTTGGTACCTTGGAAGGTTCTTAATGCTCTGCGGGTGCTGTCCTTGGCCACAGGTATTGTGCTGGTAGTGTGCATCAAGCCTGGTGTCACCCAGAAGGTGTCTCAAATAGACAGGACAGGCAGCACCCCTGACGTCACCACATTGGATGCCATGCTAGACCTGATCAGGTAAGTGTCTTGCCAGCAGGTAGCTTCATGGGCATGTGACCTGTGTAGTTGCCCAAGGCACTATGGATGCTTTAATGCTCTGCTGTTGCTGTCTTGAAATTTTCAACAATTTTTAAATTATTGTGCATTTTCGTGTTGCCCTGGTCCCCACGAAATATGTAGCCAGTCCTGCTTGCCAGGTCATGGTTCCAAGAGGGAATGGAAGGAACAGCTTCCTCTGTCAGGATTTAGCATGGACAGAGATGCAGAAAGTATACTTGCTGCATAGAGATGCTGGGCTGGGGTGAGTGACCATCTCTGAAGCACACTTAGAGAAGTACATTTTTTAATTGTAAATGGGAGAAACTCACCTATCTGAAGCCATCAGAGTCAGAAATAGGTCAGTCAATAAAAAGGACCAGTTAAAGCAGAGACTCAAAAAAATGATACAATATGCATTACATATTTTGTTTCCACTTAAAACTTAAGTGCATTTATTTGCCAATTTTTTTATGTAGGCCCCAAAATGTAGTTTATTTCTGTTGCATATGCTGCCCATATAAATGGATCATCTACAATTTCCAGATTCAGTTTCCAGAGTGGAGCAATAAAACCCTTAAAATTGCAAAGAAAGCCAAGTTCTAAATCCTTCCAGATTTTCTTTTTATTTGAATTGTCTTCCCATACCTAATTTAACCACAAAAATTTTAGTCCTTTGCCTTTATTGAATTTCATGCATTCAGCTTAGTTTTTATAGAAACCACTCCTTCCTTGTCATGCTCGTATTTCATTGACTTACATAATATTTAATTCAATAATTACGATATTTGCAATTGGCATATAAAATTTGAAGACAAATACAATAGACCCTTGGTAAGCATACATCCTCATTGATGAAAACATAAATGTGCAGACTATTGAAGAATACATAATCTCTTGACTGTGAATGTGCACCTGCCAGGGAGGCATGTCACCAAAGATAGAAAGTGTGTGAGTTCCTCAGTGAATAGGTTAAGAGACGGTTGATTTAGGAGAGCTTTCTCTACTTGGGTGAAGCTCAGCAGGAAAAAATATATCTTAATACAAGGAATTATTATGCAAAGGAGAAGCCAGAAGAGAAATCAGAGTCTTTGTTTTATATTATACTAATTTTCACGAATGTATTGACCATGACAGGAAAACACTTTTTGCCTTAAAATAATACTGCTTTTCATGTCTCCAACAGGAATATGTTTCCTGAGAACATTGTCCAAGCCTGTTTTCAACAGGTAATATTAATGACTTTTGCCCTCAGATTGCTCCCCTCTTCCCATTACCAATTAAGATTTGTTTTTCTACTGTGACCCAAGAAATGGAATTAGCCATTCAAAAGTGGCAGCAGGCAGTGCACCTGTGAATGGCGGAGCTTCAGGTGACTCCTCTGTTCATATCCCTGGTCTTTCCGGCCCACAGTGAAGTGCATGCCATAACTTACACTGCTCCCTTTTCCTTTATGCTTTAACCCCCCTTCTCACATCACCCCCCAAAGAATTCCAATGGGGAACAAGTCAGGAATCTGTCAAATAATGAGTGCTTTAAAATGTGGCCTCCAGTACCTATTTTTGGAGAATCATGTTATGTTTGTGAAGAAACTTAGACTCTCTGCAGATGCAATGCGGTGAAAGAAGTATCTCTCCATCTCCTCTTTCCTTTCCCTTTTGTGTTGAAATCAGAATTTAACCCACACAGTGTGATTAGCGTGCTGGGATTTGGTCTTTTCCTTAATCCTTATTTCCCCATTGCTGACCTCTACAGAGCACTGTAACAAAGCCATGATTTCTTTCTCTAGGAAAATTTAACAATCTCTTCACTCCATTTACTTCAAGTCTTTTTCTCCTATTTATCAATGTGCTTTAAGACAGGGGTCTATCACAAACTGCTGTATTCATTTACATAAATTACATGAACAGAGACTTCTGTGTATACGAACAATTATATTGCTCACTGCTGGCTCCATGAGGCACAGAGCCACCTCTATTTCAGTGGTGTCTTTACAGATCAGCCACAGTGGTCATTTGTAAGGTTCTCAGTGTTGGCAGAGCCTTGTAGGAGGGACATTTATGCCTGGTGTGATAATATACTAACTCTTTCTTGAACCTCCATGCTGAAGCTCCACAGAACCAAACAGGGCTGCAGGAAGGGAATTCAACAAAATCTCACTCGCCGATTAGCCCTAAAGGGACTATTGATTTTGGAACAGCCATATAATTAAACCTTTCTGGATGTTTATTAAAGTCATGGTGGCTCTGTCAAAGTGATGAAGTGTTTTTCCTAGATTAAAAAGAATTAATTAATTAATTAAAACAAAAATGATTGACAGGAGGCTCTATAGAGTCTTCCCGTGAAAGCACGTATAGATAAAACCTACACTTACCTTTCCATTATTGCTCCATTAATTTGTCCCTTTATTATGAACATGAGAGAACATTTTGACAATATTGAACAGTGGTTGTGGGAGTCAGGGATTGGGATTTCTTTCAGTTACAAAACCTCATAGGAAGTACCATCAAAAACTGGAACCAACAGAGGCATCAGAGGAAGAACCCTTTGGTGGCACTTGTTTGGCCAAAATAATATAATCCTGTGGTTTAACCTCAGAAGCTTAAAAAACTCCTTTTGTTTGTTTGCTTGTCTTTGTTTTTCTCCCACATGCAGTACAAAACCACGCGTGAAGAAGTGAGTTCTTCCAGTGATCCAGAGACAAATGTAACAGAACAGCCCTTCACAGCTGTCATGACAACCGCTGTTGCCAAGGTACTGTCCTTGTCTCCTGCTCCACTTCCCCAGTAGCAGGCACCGAGTCATGAGTCAGCGTGAGATGCAGATGCAGTGGATCCTCGCTATTTGCAGAATCCGCATTTGTGGATTAATTCACCTACAGTTCAGCCCTTCACAGCTGTCATGACAACCGCTGTTGCCAAGGTACTGTCCTTGTCTCCTGCTCCCCTTCCCCAGTAGCAGGCACTGAGTCATGAGTCAGCGTGAGATGCAGATGCAGTGGATCCTCGCTATTTGCAGAATCCGCATTTGTGGATTAATTCACCTACAGTACTTGTAAAAATGTATTCGTAACCCCAAAATTCATACTTGCAGCACTTCATACTCATTCACAGGCAAGACATTGGAGTCACCTGACGTGCACGTTCCCAGCTGAGGTCAAACAAGGCTATGTTCTTTCTTCTTTTGGTTTCATAGTGTAAACAAATGTCCATTTTGCAGTGTCTCATGGCTGCGCTGTGCAGTTAATTACGCACCATCTTGGTATCATTGGCTCGTGTTTCTCATGGTTGGTCTTGTCTTTCCAGCTGAATTTTAAGACTTTATCCTGTAGCCAGTGCAGTTAGAACACTCAAGATGCTCCATAAATATTTGTTTGGTTATAAGAAAGAAATGCCAACATAATTCTCTATATACCTGTTTTTCTTCACTCAGATTACATTATCTCTTGGTAAATTTCATGCTATTTTGGGGGGGAAAGGAGTTGGTTTTTTTGGTTTTTTGGTTTGTCTTTTTAAAAGATGACCGGTAAGGGGATCTTAACCCTTGACATGGTGTTGTCAGCACCACGCTCTCCCAAGTGAGCTAACCTGTCCAGAGCCATTAGAGCCCGGCTGCCTGCCTGTCTGGAGCCAAGAGCCTGCTGTCTTAGGTTGGGGCAATCTATCCCGCACACTAACCGGCCATCCCTATATAGGGATCCGAACCCATGACCTTGGTGTTATCAGCACCACACTCTCCCAAGTGAGCTAACTGGCCATCCCTATATAGGGATCCGATCCTGTGACCTTGGTGTTATCAGCACCACACTCTCCCAAGTGAGCTAACTGGCCATCCCTATATAGGGATCCGATCCTGTGACCTTGGTGTTATCAGCACCACACTCTCCCAAGTGAGCTAACTGGCCATCCCTATATAGGGATCCGATCCTGTGACCTTGGTGTTATCAGCACCACACTCTCCCAAGTGAGCTAACTGGCCATCCCTATATAGGGATCCGATCCTGTGACCTTGGTGTTATCAGCACCACACTCTCCCAAGTGAGCTAACTGGCCATCCCTATATAGGGATCCGATCCTGTGACCTTGGTGTTATCAGCACCACACTCTCCCAAGTGAGCCACAGGCCGGCCCTGTCTCATGCTATTTTTATCCAAGATGAAGTCAAGAAATGGTTCATAGTTGTAGGTATCTGGTTAATTTTTATACCTCTAAAGTCCTGTTGGTCATCCAAGACCAGAGGCAGTAAAGAATGTTTCTGTGCTTCACTGTCAAGGAAAAACAGATGGTAAAATGTCCTAAAAATGTTCACACTGGTAAATATTTTGCACTTCTGTGTTATTAATTCCTATGATTTTAAAAGCAGACTCCAAATGTAGCTAGTAGTTAAAATAATCCTGAAAAGTGCCTTGATTCTAAAATTCATACTAAAAATGTAAAATGTTCCAGATTAGGAAACCTTCAAAAGAAATATTCAAATATGGACTTGTTGAGAGAGGAAAAAAAACTTTAAATTTCAATTGGGGAAGGAGGTAAAGTTTATTACATACATAGTTTTTTAAAATTATATTTCCTAAAGTATTGTCGACTCTGACTAGTAGATCATTAGTCTATTATTTTTGGCTGCTATATCTTCACTGCCTGTGAATTCTAAAAAGATTATAATCGTGCATCAATGTATTTTCTTGGTTTTGATCCACAGAATAAAACAAAGGAATACGAAATTGTAGGCACGTATTCAGATGGCATAAATGTCCTCGGTTTGATTGTCTTTTGCCTGGTCTTTGGACTTGTCATTGGAAAAATGGGAGAAAAGGGACAGATTCTGGTGGATTTCTTCAATGCTTTGAGTGATGCAACCATGAAAATAATTCAGATCGTTATGTGGTAAGCAGACGCCATTTAATGCCATCTAGCTTCCTTTACGCTTCCACAAAATTAGAAAGAGGCTTTGTTTCTCAACTGACCTCATCCTAGAGAAGGTGGACATTTAATACCGACACTAGAATATTAAATAATTCTACATACTACTCAGGAGTTAGTTCACTAGCAAAAGTCTAGCTATCAGCCATTGTCTTTTCCCTCAAAGCCCCAGGGGAATCATCTTGTACCCAAACAGCATTTGTGTAAGAAGTAACTCTCAAAAAAATGACTTGAAGGAGTTTCTTGCACATCAGAACACAAAGTTTTGCCCTTATTGGGCCCCACACAGATGTGAGATTCAAAATATTTACAACTGTGCAGCATGGGCACTACCCATCTGAACAAAAGCTGCTGTCTGTGAGCATCCCAGTGACACCACCTGAGTATCTGCCTTGGCCTGGAGAAGCCAAGAAGTCCACCTTTTCTAGGAGAACTCTGCCTCACTTATCTCATATTGGATTGATTCAGTGTTATTTAATCCAAGGTGTAGACATTGACAGTGGTGTAAAGGGTTCAGTAATAACAGCCAGGCAAGTCACTTAATTCTGCAGAAATCTCAGCTTCATTATCTGTAAAAAAGGATAATAAAACCCACCCCCACAATTGGGAGAAGTACTTTAAGTGAAATGAGGCATATAAAATACTTCCTCCAACATAAGACATAATGAGAGCTCCACAAATAGAGCTATGATGACCACTTCCACTATTAGGGTATTGACTCTGTTGCTGATATGTGGGAAACAAGATGATCATGGCTAGAAAGAGCCTAGTGTCCATATTTGGCAGCAAGAGTCAAGCTCAAGTGAGATAAGCAGATATGACAATGCGCAGATATATGTGCACTGGGAACATGGCATGGGTCCGCACTAGTCTGACCACACGTTCTTGCCAAGTTTCCAAACTTCCCTTACAGTAGAATTTGAAGTTCACACTAGTACTAAAAACCATAGGCAGCTTAGTCCACCTGGGACTTGAAACTGAGCCCTGCATCATTATGGCCCTGTGCCCCTCCCAGCCGAGTGTACATGCCAAGCTGAGGGTGCATGCACTTTCTTGCTTCTTCCCCAACATCTCCAGCCTGAGAAAACACCTGGTGATGGAATGTCATCCTTGTTGTGCTTACTTTCTAGTTACATGCCTCTTGGTATTTTGTTCCTGATTGCCGGGAAGATCATAGAAGTTGAAGACTGGGACGTATTCCGCAAGCTGGGCCTTTACATGGCCACAGTCCTGAGTGGGTATGTCAGACTCAGAAGAAGAAACAGAGACCTCGTTTGATCCAATAGGATTCCTGCAGAGAGGTTGGGTTTTGGTTGGTTGAAATCATCTTCTTTTCCCACGCGGGGAAAGCTGGGGTTCAGAGATAAGAGAGCGGGGAGAGGACTGCCCTTTAAAAGCTGACTGGTAGGTGGATCATGCTGTGATAATTGCCAGCTCTTGGCAGAACAGCCTGGACCCGGGCTTTGTGGCTGCCTTTATTGGTTGTGTTAAGATAATTTTTTCAAACAAGAGAGAAATGCACTTGTAGCCTCTCTTGGCTCGCTCCCAGCCTTCACTTCCTCGAGGATGTAAACTAGCCAAACAAGAAAGAATAGCAACCCCTTGTCCCCTGAGCCTGGAAGAAATTAGGAAGGGCCTAAGTGAAATCAGATTCAAGTAAGTAGGAGCAGGATGGCTGGTTAGCTCAAATGCTCTTGCTGGAGCTGGTAGCCACTGCCATGCCCTGCATCACCAGGGAGGCAGAGAGGGTGCTGGAAAAGTCTTCAGGCTGGTAGGAACTGTGTACGTCTTTTTAGAAGCCATAAAACAGGAAGGCAGCAGGGAATGGGTTATTTGCATATTTATTACAGTCCAGTTATTGGTTCCTTGAGGGGAGATGTGATGGGACAGGTTATGAATGGTACCCCCAGATGCCTAACCAGGGGCAGGACACATCACATAATGCTAAGAACTACGAACCAGGAGAGAGAGTAAATATCATCTGTTTGACTCCCACAGTCAACACCCCCAAACACCCAACTGAGCAATCAACTCATCTATTGGAACTTGTTTGCCTTGGGGGTTTCCATTGCACAGCATTTGGCTCTTAATCTGTGCTCACCAAAAGCACAGCCCTGCCAGCCAGCACAGAAGCAGCCTGGTTTCTTGCAGTGTGAGGGCCAGGTCAAATCCCAGGGCCATGGTGGTAAGGGAGGCAGGACCTACTCCTCATTAGAGGCCACCCTGCCCTGTGGCGCTGACACTGGCAGGACCAGGGGCTGTGCTACACGTTCTCTGACAAGAGGATGCTCTCTCCAGACCTGTATTCGCAATGACCACTTTTTATTATTTCAACCACACATAACTGATCTTTAAAGTCTAAGTTGATACTTAGATATACATGCCATCTGCAAAATGGGTCTCATTTCTCATGCCCTTTATTTTGTGTAACCTGCATATTTCCATATGAAACAAGAAACAGTTTTGGAAGGCAGGAATAATAAAGAGAAGAGGGTCAGTCCTAAATTATGACTGCGGAAGAGCAGGGACTTTTTCCTACCACAACTCTGATCTCCCTCTTAGACAGCGGGTGCCATGCAGCAAGACAGCAGCAGGGTTCAGGGAACGGGGTGTTTATACACATGACCTGTGCTTATTGCATCGTTCAATGACTTATAGTAAGAGCTATAATGAGATATAATATATGGGGAGCACTGAGGGCGCCAAGTGGGGAAGGATCAGCTCTACCTGGGAGAGTGAGGGAAGGCTTCTGTATTAGTCCATGTCTGTTGCTTATAATATATATACCTGAAACTGAGTGATTTATAAAGAAAATGAAATTTGTTGCTTACAGTTTCTGAAACTGGGAAGTCCAAAGTCCATCTTGTGGTGGCAACAGTGACTCAGGGGTCTCATATTGCAAGATGGTGGAAGCAGAGAGAACAGAGAGAGAGAGAGAGACCCTCCTCTTTTAAAGCCCTCCAAACTATGCCCTGACCACCATTTTTAATCCATTCACTACGGCACCATCCTGCAATCCAATATCTCTTCAAGGCTGTACCCTTCAATCACCCGAACAAGATTTTCCACCCTCCTAACAGTCACAGTGAGGGCCAAGTTCCTAATACATAAAACTTGGGGGACACAATTCAAGCTTCAGTGAGTTTTGAGGGGGACATAATTCAATCCACTACAGCTTCCCAGAGGAGGGGGAAGTTTAGCTGAGTCTTAGAGGATGGGTAAGAATTCAGCAGCGGCAGAAGGGAGTGAAGCGCATGTTTGCACGTATAGCAGGAATAGCACGTACGGGGCGGGCAGCATAGCCCTGCTCTGTGAGCTCTGAAGTTTGGATTCAGCTACTGGTTTTGCCATGAACTTTGACAGGATGCTTCGTTTGCTGAGTGAGCCTCTACGTCCTCATACATGAATTGGGACATACGTTCCTGCCCTACTTCTCATTTTCTTATGGGTTCATTGTGAAAGTTGAATGATATCATAGATAGAAAAAGCTGTTTGGAAAAACGATTAAGTATACAGAGGTGGCATTATTTTGAAACTGTTTCTCTTGTTTACAGGCTTGCAATCCACTCCATTGTAATTCTCCCACTGATATATTTCATAGTCGTACGAAAGAACCCTTTCCGGTTCGCCATGGGAATGGCCCAGGCTCTCCTAACAGCTCTCATGATCTCTTCGAGGTAAACAGAAGGGGGTTTTCTAGAAGAAGTTTCCAACCTTTATCAGCTCTCACCTCACTTGATGAAACAGACTCCAGCTTGTGGTTTTTATAGCTGCCTTTAATTGGAGAAATGACCTCCATATTCTCTGCCCCTGTCCTTGAATATTTATCTTCAGCCTATTGAATATTTCCAGCCCTCCTGGCATGGCCTGCAGCCCAGGAAGGGGTCGTAATATAACTGGGAGCAGTGGTGGGCCCAGCACCTCCTGATTCCTGGACCTGCCAGAAATGCCAGCATGCTTTGGCTCTGTTTAGTGTTTGGAAGAGGGGCGTCTCTTCACGTGGGTACTGAGAACCAGCATTCCTAGACCCTAAGTTCCTTTCTCTTTTTATCACATAGTTCAGCAACACTGCCTGTCACCTTCCGCTGTGCTGAAGAAAAGAACCATGTGGACAAGAGAATCACTAGATTCGTATTACCTGTTGGTGCTACAATCAACATGGATGGGACTGCACTGTATGAGGCAGTGGCAGCTGTGTTTATTGCACAGTTGAATGACATGGACTTGACCATTGGGCAGATCATCACTGTCAGGTGGGGCATGGCTTCACACTCATTTTCCTTACTATTACTGGGATTGCCTCAAGTAAAAATGGTTTACAGTGGGAGACCAAGAATGGCCAAGCAATGGATTGTTTTTCTTGGTTTCAAAATCCCTTCCCAAGATTAAATACAACTATATCACACGTAATAGAAAAATGGTATGCAAAATTTATGCTTCAGGGTCTGTGTAGCTAAAGACTTCATTCTGTGCTCAGTTCAGTGCACCCAGTAGGTACTAGGCACAGAATAGGCACCAAGGACTCATGGTTGAATAAGGGCTGGTCCCCGCTTTCAAGGGGTCTCTGGTAGACAGGGGTACAGATATCCAGATGAATGCTGAGGGCTGTGATAAGGGCTGTAAGAGACCTTTGAATGGTGGGCACAGAGGGCCTCAAGGAGGCAAGGTTTGGCTCTACCTGGGAAGAAGGAGGTATAAAGGGGAAAGTTGAGTTGACTCTTAGAAGAATAAGAATTTAGCAGGTGAGGAAGGAAGATAAGAGCACTTTGGATAAGAGAAATAGCACATCCAGGGGCTTGCGATGTGGCCGTGGCCTGGGTACAGAGCAGAGCTATTTGATATGGCTGGCGAAAGGAGTACAATGTGGAGAACGCAAAGGAATGAGGAGGCAGGGGTCATATCCTGAAAGGTTTTGTATGGGGTGTCATGGAAGGTTGTAGACAATCTGTCGTATTAGGGATAGATTTGCATTTTAGAATGGTAACTAGCAATATGGTGGCTGGATTGGATGGGGGCAAGGACCACAGGCTAGAAGACCAGTTAGAAGACAATTGCAGAAGTCCAGATAAAGTATTAAAAGGCCTGCATCAAGGCACTGACACTGGGGATGGCAGAGGCATCAACTGGATTCATGGCGAGGGACAGGAGAAAGCTAGGATGACTCCAGGATTGGTGGAAGATTCTGGATTGGTGAAGAGGGCTTATCAGAATAGTGACTAGCATAAGGGAAGCAAGTGCAGGTGGAAAGAGTATATTTTCTGACACATTGAATTTGAAATGCCTTTAAGATTCCCAGGTGGAGATACACAGTGAGAAATGTAGGTCTGACTGCAGATACAGAAGTCAGGGTCATCAGCTTAATGGTGGTCATCAGATATGTGGGCCACAAGTCAACTGTCTGTGTTTGAATCTCAGCTGCACCAGGATTAGCTGTAACCTTGGGCAAGTGACTTGAGTTCTCTCACGTTCTGTTTTCTCACCTGTAAAATGAGGCTGTTATAGTACCTACAGTTTATTCAAGTTGTGGTGATTAAGTAAAGTGATGCTAGTAAAATTCTATAAAATGAATAGTACCTGCATAGTGAGCACTCAAAAAATGTTGAGAATGGATAACATTATATAGGGAGAGTTTGTAGAAAAGAGGAGACTAAGGACTGAGCCTTGGGAAATCCTAATATTAGAGGCAGGCAGAGAAGGAGACCCCAAGAGGGAGAGTGAGAAGGAAAAGAGAGGTTGGAGGGGAGCCAGGAAACAATGGTGTCTTGGAAACCCAGAGAAGAGTGTTTTCCGAAGAAAATAGCCCACAGAGTCAGATACTGCAGAGAATTCTAGTCAAATGAGGACTGAAATTGTCTGCTCAGGTAGATGATAGAAGTGTCATAAGTGAAGTTTGCCAGAGTTGTTTCTCTAGCACTGTTCAGTATGGCAGCCACCAGCCATGTGTGGCTCAGGGCTAACTGAACTGGATAGCACAGATACAGAACATTTCCATCATTGCAGAAAGTGCGATTGGACAGCATTGCTTTGGGGTGATAGGCTGGGATTGGAGTTAACCCTGAGACATTAGTTCAGTTTAGAATGGAAGTTTAAGACTAAACTGGGTCTCTAGGCCTCCTCAAGGTTGAATCTGAACGTATTAGAGTTAATTCACTCTTGTGTCCCCAGAATAGATAAATTTTAGAGTATAAATTAACAGACTCATAAAGTAAGAGGTTGTTAACTAACAATGTTCTAATACAGTGCTTTAGGCCTCCTCAAGGTTGAATCTGAACGTATTAGAGTTAATTCACTCTTGTGTCCCCAGAATAGGTATAAATTTTAGAGTATAAATTAACAGACTCATAAAGTAAGAGGTTGTTAACTAACAATGTTCTAATACAGTGCTTTTATTGAAATAAACTTGGGTCTTCCAAAGAGTAGTTCGGGATTGTGCAAGCCTGAAACCTTTAGAGAATTGGCACAGCTCCAGAAATCTCTGTAAAGTAGTGGCCATAGCCACCGAAAGAAACACACTTGTCAAAGAACTCTGGCCTGCGCATGACCATGCCCTTACACAGCCTCAGCAGTGCATCCATAGGCACGTGGGTGGGCAGTAGAAACAGCTTCCTAAGAACTCTGTGCCTTTCTGAGCCCACAAGAATATGGATTTGAGAATAGAATCAGGGATTCTTCTGGTTTAAATTGGCTGTTTCTACATCTTCACCTTTCAACCCAGTGGCATCTTGACAGCAGTTGCCTTAGCTCAAGGCGAGGACATGTCTCCATAAAGTACTTTGGGTGTCCCCCAACCTTATCCAAATCGAGGACTTTTCAGGGCATAGTGAGCATTCATTTCCTCCAGAATGATCCAATTAAAATAAGGAAGATGTTGTTGATGGAAAACTGCACATTCTAAAGAGAAAAATCCCTAGTGCAACATCTTATCTGCCCACGAGGGATCTTTTTAAATACATGGAGGTAAAGGTCATCTGGCTGCCTCTCTTGGATTCTAGATCTCTCTTCCTTTTGCACAAAGTGCATCCACTGGCAAAAGGAACAGTCAGGAATAAATGTTTGTACCTTGGACAGGAGTCATAGTTATTTCTCAATTCGGTGCCCTAAAGGACAGCTCCCAGAGAGGTAGAGTCTTGTGATGTCAGGAAAGTGCATAAAACCTGCTTAATCATTGCCCATTGCTTTACCTTCACCTGAAATACCCTTGCCTGTCCACCCCTACCACTGTCCCTCTATCCATCCTTCAAGGCAACTTAAATTTCTGGCGCATTTCAGATATTCAGTAAATGACTGGGTGGGTAAGTAGGAGAAGGGAGGGGAAAAGCACGTGGAGAGGTGTCTGGCACTTATTTAGGACAGATGCACGCATAGACGGAGACATAAAGCCTTCTATAAACACCCCAGGCAGTAACTCTTGCCTTCTTGAATATCTCTCATGTTTTGGTGCCTCTCAAGCAATTCTTCTGTACTTCCTTGCATTAGAGTGATTTGCCATATCTCGCCAGGCAAGGACATGGCATCATCCCCCATGCCCGCTCCGGCTCTCATCCTATAATGAAACAGAGCTGGTGCTCAGCAGATAACAAATTCTGACTGCCCAGTTTGGGGACACAGCAGTAACAGCCATCAGGACTAATCATTTCAGGCCAGGGGCCTTGAAGGGAGAAATAGGTGTTTAACTCCTTCCCTGCTGATGTGTTTTGGCTACAGTGTCACAGCCACAGCCGCTAGCATTGGAGCTGCTGGTGTGCCCCAGGCTGGCCTGGTGACCATGGTGATCGTGCTGAGTGCCGTGGGCCTGCCCACCGAGGATGTCACCCTGATCATCGCTGTCGACTGGCTCCTGTGAGTTGGAATAAATGCACTGCCTAAGCCGGATGGGCAGGCGGACTTCCCAGCCATGCAGAGTCTGCAGTCTGTCATCATTCTCTCCTCAGATTTCCTAATAAGCCATCTGTTTTTGCTTTAATTTCACTCTGACCAGGCCATCTGATAACGTGCTTAAAAATTAACTTCTCATAACTTTGAGCAGTGATTTTAAAAAGCCCAGTAATGCTCAAGGTTAGGAGCTGGGTGTGGGACAAGATAAACATAGAATAATATGGTGAAGAAGCTGGGAAGGCCCCCTTCAAACCCTGTCGCTGTCCTAGCCTGTCTCAGCCCTTGTGCAGCATCATAGGCTCAGAACCACCTGCTCCAGAATCAGTCCATCTTCCCAAGCATCTTGGAACCTTCAGGGCAGTGGCATGACCCAAAGGCTCTGGGGTAAGACTGACATGGGTTGGAATCCCCATCCGGTGTCTTACCAACTTTTTGACCTCGAGAAATTTCCTTAGCCCCTCGAGTCACAGTATCTATGAGATTCGAAAAATCCAGCCTGCCTCGTTGGAATCCCCATCCGGTGTCTTACCAACTTTTTGACCTCGAGAAATTTCCTTAGCCCCTCTTGAGTCACAGTATCTATGAGATTGGAAAAATCCAGCCTGCCTTACTGGGTTGTTGTAACCCACATGAGCTCATGTGAGTGGAGGGTCTAGAACAATGTCTGGCAGCCAGTACTAGCTCAATAAATGGCAAGTTGTGTTATTATGATTAGATAAGTTGAACCATTCAGGCTCCAACCAACAACACTTTCTTTCTTCTCTCTCTCTCTCTCTCTCTCTCTCTCTCACACACACACACACACACACACACACACACACACAGAGGCAGGTAAGGAACACTGCAGAACATAAGGTAAGAATGTGCCTTCAGTGACCTCCAAGGTTAAAGTCAGAACTAGCCTGGTTCATGGCTTTATCCTTGATGCCCACTTCTTTAAAAAAAAAAAAAAAAAA